CGCCCTTTCCTCCATTCAGTGATCCCTCCCTTTCTGCAACACCAGAGATATACACACACGAAGTCCATCCTTGAGACAGCAGCTCTGTCAATCCTGTGAGAGGGCAGTGAGCCCAGTGTCTTTTTCAATGAACTCTCAGTAAGCAGTGAACAGTGATGCCAAGTCCCCTAAATCCAAATACACAGAAGAGCTAGGGGTGGAACTTAGCAGTACTTTCCGGGCAAGGCCCTACGTTCAATCCCCAGCACCATAAGAAAACCAAATACTCAGAAGACATAAGAAATAATAATGTGCTAGTCACCACATGTCTCCTTACTTCATCCTCCCAACGACCCCAAAAAGCAGGTAATGGTGTTATTTTACAGCATACAATTATGTGTACCTCCAGCTCCAGGGGATCCCACAGCTCGAGGAACTCACAATGTAAGTGGAGTTGGGATTTGAATCCACAGCAACTGGCCAGGGAGAGAGTGGCAAGATAGGAACAGATAAGAAGCAAAAAGTGATGTTAAAATAATAGAGCAGAAAGTTGGTAAAGCGGTTCAGCAGATAACAGAGCTTGCTGGGCAAGTCTGACAACCCGAGTTTGATGGTTTTAATTGACACAACTTAGAATCATCTGGAAGGAGTCTCAATGAGGAATAGTCTAGATTAGGTTGGCCCATGGGCATGTCTGTGAGGGGATTGTCTTAATTATGTTAACCAATGGCAGAAGACCCAGTCCACGGTGGGTGGCCCCATTCACTAGGCAGGAGCTCCTGACTGTGTAAGTGGAGAGTGCAAGCTGAGCACCGACAGGCACTGCCTGTATTCGTTTTCCCTCTGCACTTTACTGTATGAAGGCCTGCTTCAAATTCCTGCCTGGACTTCCTCACAATGGACTGTAACATGGAACTGAAAGCCAACAAACCCTTTCTCCCCTAAGTTGCTCTTTTGTTATTTTTTGTTTTTTGAAGCAGGGTCTCACTATGTGGTACTGGCTAGCCCAGAACTCACTACTCACTATGTAGACCAAGCTAGCCTCAGTCTCATAGAGATCTGTCTGTCTCTGTCTGTGCCTCCCAAGTGCCGGGATTAAAGAGGTACACCACCATGCCTGGACCCTAAGTTGCTTTTTGTCAGGCTGTTTTATCACATCAACAGAAATGAAACTAAAATAACACATAATGGTGAAAGAAAAGAACCAACTCCACAAGGTTGTCTTCTTACCTTCACATACACACCATGACATGTGCTAGTCTCTCCCGGACTACCCACCCTCTACCACCCCAACATACATCACACCCACACATAATAATAAATAAAATAATTTTTTAAAAAATGCAGCAAGGGGGCTGGAGAGATGTTCAGAGGTTACAAGCACTGGATGCTCTTGCAGAAGACTTGAGTTCAGTGCCCAGCATCCATATAGTGGCTGTCAATAGTCCTTAACTCTAGTTCCAGGGAATTGACACCCTCTTCTTGCCTCCGTGGGCACTGTATGACACAGACGCACTTGCATGCAGGCAAAACATTCATACACATAAAAATTTTAAAACGCAGCAGAAAGCCAAGTGTCATGGTGCATGCCTGTAATCTCAGTACTCAGGATAGAGGCAAGAAGATTACAAGTTTAAGACCAGCTTGAGCTATACAGTGGGTTCCATCACACATTGGGAATGTAGCAATACCCTGTTTGAAAACTAATTAGGGGGGATGGCAAGACGGTTCAGTAGGAAAAGGCAATTGCCATCAAGCCTGATGATCTGAGTTCTAGCCTTGGGACTCATATGGTGGGAGAACCCACTCCCACAAGTTGACCTCTGACCGCCACACATTCTGTGACATGTGAACACCCCCATACACACAAAATTAAAAAAAATTTTTTTTGGTCTTTTTGAGACAGGGTCTCCCTGTAGCCCCAGCTGTCCTGGAACTCACTATGTAGACTAGGCTGGCCTTGAACTTACAGAGATCTGCCTGCCTCTGCCTCCCAAGTGCTGGGATTAAAGGCGTGTGCCACCACGCCCGGCTCAAAATAAATATTTTTTAATGAAAAAAAAAAAAAAACCCTAGGGGCAGGAGAGATGCCTTAGCAGTTAAAGGCAACTGCTTCACAATCATGAACCAGAGTAGGGATCCCAGCACCCACTTGGCAAGCCAGATGTCTCCCAAAATACCTGGAACCCCAGCTCTGGGGATGGTGATGTGTGGAGACAGGAGGATTGCTGGGCTTGTTATGGCCTCCAGCTTAGTGAGGTGAGCTTCAGGTTAGGCAAACAGTTACAGCAGAGGACACCTGACATCTCTTCAGGCCTTTGTGTGGTATATACCGGCATATGCACCTCCCTAACACGCATGTGCATATGCTCACACATGTAAACAAATAAAAATACATCTTTGAGGGGTTGCCAAGATTGCTCAGTGGTTACTTATTGCTCTTCTGGAGGATCTTCGATGGGTTCCCAGCACCCACATGGTAGCTAACAACCATCTGTAATGCTAGTTCCATGTGATCAGATGCCCTCTCTGGCCTCCACAGGTACTGCATGTATGTATGCACTTACATGCAAGCAAAACACTCATACACATAAAATAAAAATAGAAAACCTTTGAGAGAAACCTAGGGCTTGGAGAGATGGCTCAGCAGTTAAGAGTGCTCACTGTTCTTCCACAGGGCCTGAGAGTTTGGTTCCCAGCACCCATATCAGGAGCCTGACAACTGCCTGTAACTCCAGGGGACCCAATACCCCTTTAGCCTCTGAGGGCACAACTGCATCCACATGCACATAGAGACACAGATGCACACAAATATACATATATTTTGTCTTTCTGAGACAGGGTCTCCCTGTAGCCCCAGGTGTCCTGGAACTATGTAGACCAGGATGGTCTTGAACTTACAAAGATCGGCCTGCCTCTGCCTCCCAAGTGCTGGGATTAAAGGCATGTGTCACCACACCTGGCTTATAAATACTTTTTAAAAACTAATTAAAATATAGAAGAATTAGGAATGAAGATTATCCTTCGTGGCGAGGGCAGAAAAACAGACTTTCTGACAAAATGCTAATTCCACAAACACCAATCTCTCAGGTGCAGGATAGGGTCAAGGTTACTAAGACTCATGAATCTACTCAGTCTCTGAAGTTGTATGGGGCTTCCCAGTCATGACATCAGGAAAAGGCCAATTTGCATCCTCAGAGAAGGGCAGGAAACAAGACAGGAAGAGGGTATGTAGGCAGCTTTCTGTTACTGTAACGAACACTTGAAACAATCAATTTATAAAGAAGAAAGGTTTCTGGGTGTGAGGGTCTCATAAGAATCATGAGATCAAAGTCAGCTTGGGTTACATAGCAAGACTGAAAAAAAAAGTTTAAAAACATAGAAGTCTTATTTCAGCTCACAGTTTTGGAGGTTTCAGTCCACAGCTGACTTGTGTTGCTCTCAGGTCCCTAGCAAAGAGCACACCATGACAGAAGCATGTGGCAGTACAAAGCTGTTCATGGCTAAGGAGTGGAAGAGGAAGGGACCAAGGTTCTCAGTTTTGTGGGGTTGTTGGGGAGGTTGTGGTCCTCTGAGCAAAACAGCCACCATCATCAGATCAGCTGTGCCTACTCACAATAGGCCATCCCAATAGGCTGGCCTGTGAACTGCTGACACTCTCTCGGAGAAGCGGAGGGATAGTACGTAGGCAGAGGGAGGTTCATAGAAGGGACTCCATCTGTGCAGCTATGGGCAAGCCATCATCCCTGCTGGGTACAGACCTTACTGTGCCCAGTTTTAGGGTCACTCATTGTCTTGTAGGCAACACCTCACTCGTGTTCTGTAAGTAAGCCCAATAAACTCACTGGTTCTACAGAGTCAACTTTGGAGGGATCCTACTTTGGTTTGTTGTTGGGACCTTACAAGGAGGCAGTAGACATTGCTGACATCTCTCCCCAGGGAACAAATCTTGCAAAAAAAGGTGAAAAAGTACACACATAAAATATGCCTTACACCCAGGGACCACTCTATTATGCTAGATTGTGCTGGGTTACCACTGGCAACTGTAAGAAACTGAGCAATAATGCCCTGACATGTGATTGACATCATGCCATGTGTCACAAAAATGTTTCCAGGGTGCCTCCTACAAATATTAAAATTAAAAAAGAATTTAAAGATTTATTTTTAGGTGTATAAGTATTTGTATGTATGTATATGCACTAGGTATATACAGAGCCTACAGAGGCCAGAAGGGGGTGCAGGATCCTCTGAAGCTAGAATTACAGATAGTGGTGACCCTACATAGGGGTGCTGGGAAACAAACTGGGTCCTCTACAAGGGCAGCATGTGCTATTAACCCTTAGCCATCTCTCTAGCTTCTAATTTTTTTTTTTTTTTGGTGGGTGGGGGTGTTGGGACAGAGTCTCCCTATAGCCCCAGCCCGCCTGGCACTATGTAGACCATGCTGGCCTCCATTTCACAGAGATCCGCCTGCTTCTGCCTCCTTAGTCTCCAATTTTTTTTTAACGTGTGTTTATTTTTGTGTGTGCACCCACGAGAGTAGCAGGGCGCATGTGAGGTCAGAGGGCGACCTGAGAGTCGGGTCTCTCCTTCCACCACGTGGATCCTGGGACTCGAACTCCGGCTTGGCAGCAAGTTCCTTTAACTACTACACCACCTCCTCCGCCCCATGATGATTAGTTTTAAGTCCTTGATGGAGCCCACCGAGTCATGGGGTCGCCTGCCTGCCTCAGGTCACCTCGGCCGCCCCATCTCCTCGCCTGCGGGGCCCCGCGTCTACACCGCCTGCTCCGCTCCCGCAGCCGGGTCCTGAGAGGACGTCAGTAGTTTGCGCGTCCTCTCCTCACTCATAGCCTGAGGTCTGTTCGCCTGACAGCACGATCTCGGAAGTGCGCGTGCGCGCCGACCCCAGCTCCGCGGGCTAGCGGCCCCGCGGCAGCCAATCACACGCTCCCAAGCTGTTGCGTCAAGGCAATCCTGGCCAATGAGCACGGAGCGGGCCGCTGCTTCCGGCCCGCCCCCTTGCCTGAGGCGGGGGGCAGGGCCAGGCCTGGGAACAGCCTTGCAGTTCTTCTCCAGCCGACCCGGGCGGTCGGGCGTGGGCCCAGGTGAGTGTAGCGCGCCGTCCCTTCCGCGCGGCCGCTAAGATTGGGGTGCCGCCGAGCAGCGGGCCCCCTTTCCAGTGCCCCGTCCTCCACCCGCTGCGTTTGGTGGGACACGGAGGGAGGGAGAGGGACCCGTACCTGTGCTCTCTGCACACCTGGACGGCCCCGCCCCTGCCCCCTTGCCCTGGATCCACGTGCCTGCGCTGGGAGCCGCTTCACCGCGCGCCCCTACTCCAGCCTTAGCCCTGGAGTGCTTTCCCGAGGCCCACCGCTGCAGCCTGACAACGAAATGGAGCTTCAATACCCCTCCCCCCCTCATAGCTTTCTCCCTTGACGTTGGTTGGAGCAAATCTGCTTGCCCTGGAATTAGCGTAGGCAGATGGGCTAGGCCCTTACAGCTCCGACATATGTTCCTGATGGCAGTGCAGGGGACCCACCTGTCGCCCCGGTGGAGGAACTGGGATGGAAGCCAAGCTGATTCCTGCCTGCTGGGACTGGGTGGACTCTATTCTTCAGGAAGGGACCCACTCCCATGCAAGTTTCGCTGTTTCCTCCCGTGTCTTTTGACTCTAAACGTTGCGCTGGAGTAGTCCGTGCGCTCTGAGTTAGTGAATACTTAAGTAGCCATTGTACACCAGATGGGAGGGACAGTGTAAGGGAGAGGAGAAGCCTTCTAGGGCAGATTCAGAAGTAAATGCATGGAGCGATTTCTTGTGCCTTGGGCTTTTTTTTTTTTTTTTTTTAATCTGGTCTGTGTGCAGACGCACATGTGGGTGTGGAGACCAGAGGTCAACCTCTATACACACACAAGCAGGTAGATGGCACAGGAATTTTCCCTCTTGTGCCATCTACCTGTTTGTGTGTGTGTATTTTTTTAATGTGTATGAGTACATGTACTTGCATGTATGTAAGTACATCACATGTGTCCTTGGTTCCTGTGGAGGCCAGGAGAGAGCATCAGATCCCCTGGAACTGGAATTACTGATGGTTGTTAGCTGCCATGTGGGTGCTGGGAATCGAACCTTGACCCTCTAGAAAAGCAGCCAGTGTGCTTAACCACTGAACCATCTCCCCAGCCCCATCCACTTGTTTTTTGGTGTTTTTAAAGTATTTTACTTATTTTTATGTGTATGAATGTATTCCCTGCATGTATGTAAGTGCACCTGTGTCGTGCAGTGCCTGAGGAGGTCAGAAGAGGGGGTCGGATCCACTGGAGCAGGAGTTAAGGACAGCTGTTAGTCTCCGTATGGGTGCTGGGAATCAAAACTGGGTCCTCTGCAAGAACAGCCTGTGCTCTTAACCATTGAGCCATCTCTCCAGCCCCATCCACTTTTGGTTTTTTTAAGACAAGATCTCACTGACTGGCATGGAACTCACTGATTAGGTTAGGCTGACTGGTCAGGGAACCTCAAGGATCCACTTATCTCTACCTCCCCAGCTCTGGGATTGCAAGCATGTGCCACTATGCCCCACTTTTTAAAAAATTACATTATTTATTTATTTATTTATGTATGTATGTATTTATTTATTTATGTATTTGTGTGCCAAGGCACAAGTGTGGAAGTTAGTGGACAATTTGCAGGAATGGGTCCTCTTCTACCATGTGGGTCCTAGGGATCAAACTTAGGTCATCTAGTTTGACTGCAAGTTCCTTTACTCAGGCCCTGCCCTACTTTTTTACATGGGTCTGGGGATCGAACTCAGGACCTTCTCCTTGCAAGGCACCTTACCAACTAAGTCATCTCATCAGCCCTCTTTGTGTTTGCTTTTTGGAATAGGGTCTCACTATGCAGCCCAGGCTGGCCCGGAACTCACAGCAATCCTGCCTCAGCCTTTAAAGGGCTGGGAGTACATGTGTGTGCTACCATGCCAGGCTTTTTTTTTTTTTGGTCTCTGAAGGGACCTGTGAATAAACTGGCCCAAAAGGGCAGATGACTTTTCTGGGGCTGAGGCTTTCTAACTGAAGGATCAAGTCACATTCATTTTGTAGGAATTCATGATGAAGTACAGGTTGCTTCTGTGAGATGTTTCCTCCATCCCTTCACTTCTAGAAGATATCTCAGGATCCCAGAATCACAAGACTCACTCTCTACCTCCCACCCCTGCTCCACCCCCACTCTCCACTTCAAGAGTCCTGTGACCCAGTGACCTTAGCCAGGTTGCCTGGGTGATGTCAAGGAAGTGGCATGTGATCAGTGCCATGGGGGAACATCCTGTGGAGGCAGAAAAGGGGTGTGGTTGGCCAAGAAGATTTGCCTTGTGTTGCCTGTAGCTTAGATGTGATTGCCTCAGTCTCCACTGTGAAGGGAATTTGTAAACACAGCCCCCACTCCATCCTGTCTCAAGCAGAGTATTCTCCCATTAACTGCCCAGAAGCTTCAATTATGTCTGAAAGGAAATTACTGCTTAGTCATTTATCTGAAGGAAAGTGTTTCAAATACAAGTTGCATCTCCATCCTTTGAGTTCAACCTGCAGACTCAGTCTGACTCAGTTGGTTGGTTATACATTGAATTGTGAGCTATCTCCCTAGGGAGAGAGGGATTGAGACAGGATATCATTGTGTAGCCCAGGCTGGCCTTGAGCTCCTGATCCAGCCTCAGCCTCCTGAGTGCTGGGAATACAGGCATGCACCACCATGCCCAGGAAATGGTATTGCTTTGTGTGTGTGTGTGATTGTGGGGCCATATACCATGGTGTGCATGTGGAGGTCACAGGACTGCTTTCAGGAGTTGGTTCTCTCCTTCCACTGTGGGATCAAACCCACGTGGTCAGGCTTGTGTGGGAAGTGCTTTTATTTGATGAACAATCTTGCTGGCCCTGATCTATCTTTAATTTTATTTATTTATTCATTCTACTTTATGTGTATGAATGTTTTGCCTGCATGTATATAAGTGCCAATGGGAGTCAGAAGAGGGTGTCAGATACCCTGGAACTGGAGTTATAGACAGTGATTAGCTGCCATGTGGGTGCTGGGAACTGAACCGGATTCCTCTTCAAAAGCAGCTAGTGCTCTTAACCTCGGAGCCATCTCTCCAGCCCCTGATTTTTTTTTTTTGATTCTATGTTTTTTTATTGTGTCTGTATAATGTGGGGGCCAGCATGTATGTCATGGTACATGTTTGGTCAAAGGAGAACTTTGTAGAGTTGGTTCTCTCCTTCCACTTTATGTGTGTTCTGGCGTTTTGAAAGCAGGTTGACAGCCTTGCATGGCAAGTGCCTTTACCAACTGAGCCAGCTGCTGACTCCCTGGCTTGATTTTTCTCAAGAAATGGGAGTATGGCAGTGACACCTGTAATCCTAGCACCAGGGAAACTGAGGCAGGAGGATTGTGAGGTCCAAGCCAGCCTGGAAAAATAGTGAGATTCTGTCTCAAACATACAAACAAGGAAACAAAGACAGAGGTAAAAGAGTAGTGGCAGTGTACAAAGTAACAATGTGACATAAGTGACAGTCATGGGGACTGGGCTGGAGCAGCATTTATCATAAGCTCTGTGTCTGTATTATCTCAATTAATTCTCAAGAAATAGTGTACTCTCTTTTCTGATTAATATATGTTTAGAAATCAAGGCACAGGAGAGGTGACTCTGTGGTCAAGAGTACTGGCTGTTCCTGCAGAGGACCCTGGTTCAGTTCCCAGCACCCATGTGGCTGCTCACAACTGTCTGTAACTCCAGTTCCAGGAGCTCCAATACCTTCTGGCCTCCACAGGCACTGCATGCACATGGTGTACTTACATATATGCAGGCAAAATACTCATATATGTAAAATACAAATAAATAAGTACAATTTAAAAAAGAGAAATCAAGGCACAGAGAGAATAGTTAGCTTTGATGATATTAGAAGCCTTGTGGAGGCTGGAGAGATGGCTCAGCAGTTAAGAGCACTGGCTGCTCTTGTAGAGGTTCTGGGTTTGGTTCCCAGCACCCACACAGCAGCTCACAACCACCTATAACTCCAGTTCCAGAGGATCTCTTCTGATCTTAGCAGGCATTGCATGCACATGGTACATATATGCATGCAGACAAAACACTTATGAACATATAGCATTTTTTTGAAAAGAAGCAGCTACATGTAAGTGTACATACCTGTAGTCCCAACACTCAGGAGGTAGAGGCAGGAGGATCAGGAGTTCAAGACCATCCTCAGCTGCACAATGAGAGTTTGAAGCCACCTTGAGCTACATGAGAAAAAAAGAGAAGAGAAAAGAAAGCGATAGAATCAGGACCCACATTCTGGCACTCTGGCTCCTGGCAGCTCTGAATGTTCTTAGTCACTGCAAAGGTGGCAGAGGGACTTTCAGGCCTAACCCAGAGGAAGGAAGGGACAGCTGGGGCCTCTGGAGTCCCACGGAGTTCTCTGAGCAGAGACAGTTTTCAGATGAGTCTAGAAAGCCGGTATCCTGATTTCCCTGAGTGGGGGTGGCATGGTGCCCCTGCATACTGTGGTCAGTGGTTCTGTGGGGACTCTTTTTCCCCAACATTGCTCCACTCCAGTGGTCAGTCTCTCTGGTCTCTCTCTGCTTCAGATCTTGGGAGTGTCCCCAAACTGGGCCCTGCCTTCCTGTTGCATATCTGTCTCTTCCTTTGCAGCCCGTACTCCCCTTGTGTCTGTCACTCACTGAGTTCTACATGAGCCTGTTTTGCCCAAGGCAGCTGCTCCTATTTTCAGATTTGTTCCATCTCCAGTCCTCACTACACTCTCAATGCCTTCTGGAGAGCTCCTGTGCCTATAGCTCCAGGCTATAAGAACAGAGCTGCTATAAGAACAGAACCTCCAGATCCCTAAATACACTTGCCCATTTTCCCAATAGCTCCAATTTCCAAACTAGACTCTCTAGACAGTCTCATGTAACCTAGGCTGACCTTATAGTAGAGGCTATAATTAAACTTTTAAAAAAAAGATTAAAAAATGTTTAAAAATATTTTGTTATTTTTATTTTATGTGTCAGTGTTATTGCCTGCATGTGTGTAAGAGCACCTGTGTCGTGCAGTGCCAGGGGAAGTCAGAAGAGGATGTCAGATGCCCTGTATCTAGAGTTACAGATGGTTGTTAGCTACCATGTAGATGCTGGGAATCGAACCTGGGTCCTCTATAAGAGCAGCCAGTGCCCTTAACCACTGAGCCATCTCCAGCCCCCAAGATTTATTTATTTTCTATATGTATTAGTGTTTTGCCTGCATGTATGTGCATGTCGTGTGCCCATGGAGGCTAGAATAGGGCATTAGATCCCATGGAACTGAGTTAACAGGCAGTTGTGAGCAGCCTTGTGGGTGATGGGAACTGAACCTGGGTCCTCTGCAAGAGCAACCAGTGCTCTTACCTGCTAAGCCATCTCTCCAGCCTCCACCTTAAACTTCTGATTCTTCTGTTTCTACCTCTTGAGTGCTAGGGTTGCAGGCGTGAGCCACTAGACCCAGTTTATGGGGTGCTGGTGATAGTGCATGCTAGGCAAGCACTTTGCTGCTTTATTCTTGGGGGGGCGCGATGGCTCAGTGGTTAAGAGCACTGACTTGCAAAGGACCTGGGTTCAGAACCCAGCACCCACATGGCAGCTAACAGCCATCTGTAACTGCAGCTTCAAGCGATCTGACACCCTCTTCTGGTCTCTCTGGGCACTTGCTTGACACAGCTGCACTTACACACATGCAGGCAAAACTCATACACATAAAAATAAATAAAACATTAAAAAAATGCTTAAACTTAATAATGATGCTCATTAAATTTGAGCTAGCCTGGAATTCACTGTGTAGACCACGCTGGCCTTGAACTCACAGAGATCCTTCTGCCTCTGCCTTCTGAGTGCTAGGATTAAAGGCGTGTGCAACCACACCCAGCTCATGAGACAAAAACCAGGGCATGGTGGTAACACCTATATTCTATCTAGCCCGTGGGAGGTGGAGGCAGGAGGATCAATAGTTCAAGGTTGTCCTCAGTTACATAGCAGGTTCAAGACATGTCTCAAATCAAAACAAAGTATTTATGGATGTAGGTGCGTGTTTCTTTTTCCTGGCTTGTTTCTTGTTTGCGTTGCTGGGGATGGACCCAAGGGCCCTATATTTTTCTATATGCTTAAACATAATTCAAGCCAGACCTAGTAGTACATGTACATAATCCCAGCACTCAGCACTCAGGATGCTGAGGTAAGAGGATTGTGACTTAAGCCCAGTCTGAGCTACCTAGTAAGACACTGTCTCAAGTAACCAATAAAAATAAAGAGGGGGCTTGAGGGTACAGCACAATTAGTAGAGAGCTTGCCTAGCATGCATGAAGCCCTGGGTTGGATCCTCAGCATCCCAGAAACCTGGTGTTTTGATGAATGCCTGTAATCCCAGCACTGGGAGGTAGGGGCAGGAGGAACAGAAGCTCAGGGTCATCTTTACATAGGAATTTGGGACCAGCCTGGTCTCCCATGAGATCCCATCTCAAACCTATAATGAAAAAGAAGGAAAGGTTAGGTGTGATGGCACATGCCTTTAATCCCAGCACTCAAGGCAGAGGCAGGTGAATCTCTGAGATTGTGGCCAGCCTGGTCCACATAGCCAGTTCCAGGCCAACTGGGGCTATGGGAAGACCCTGTTTCGAAAAACAACAAAAACAAAAGAAGACAGAAAGAAGGAAGGGAGGAAGAGGAGGGAAGAGAAAGAAATAGCACCTCACAGGAAGCCAGGCTCTGCATTTGATCTTCAGTGTGACCACTTGCTTTTCTTTGGGGTCCTTGCTTTGCCATCCATGGCATGAGAAAGTCACCAAAGAGGGTTCAGAGGTTCCACCTGGCCCTGATGTCCCTGGGCTGGGAGCCACAATGCTAAAACCTTTCCTTTGTCCCCGATTTTCCCACAGTGCTGCTGCCATGCCCACCTCGGTGCTGTGGGCAGTGGACCTCTTTGGGAGAGTGTACACTCTGTCTACAGCCGGCCAGTACTGGGAGCTGTGTAAAGATGCCCAGATGGAGTTCAAGCGGGTCAGTGCGGCTACTCGTTGCTGCTGGGGCATTGCCTGTGACAACCAAGTCTACTTGTATGTATGCGCCAGTGACGTCCCCATCCGCTGCCGAGAGGAGGCTTATGAGAATCAGGTAGTACACGTGTGTGGCATTGCTGAGGTGGTCATGTCCTGGGTATTAATTACAATGAACTGAGGAGTGAGTGAATTGAGGTTCTAGCTGCCTTGCCATCCCTGAATTCATTTCATCATACAAGTTGCCCTGGGTGTGGTGGCACACTTCTGTAATCCCAGCACTTGAGAGGCTGTGGCAGGAGAATCGTAAATCCAAGGCCAGTTTGGGCTATATATTATTTACCTATTTACCTATGTGATAAAATACCATGACCAAGGCAACTTATAGAAGAAAGAGTTTATTGGTCTTATGGTTCCAAAGGGGGAAGAGTCCATCATGGCGGGGAGGCATGGCAGGAGGCAGCTGGAACAGAAAGCTGGGCACTCAGATCTTCAAGCAGGCACAGGAAGCAGAGACAAACTGAAAGTGGGGTAAGGCTAAAACCCACCCCCAGTGACACGCTTCCTCCAGTAAGGCCACCTCTCCTAAACCTCCTAAAACAGAACCACCAACAAATACATGGAGCCTAAGGGGGCCATTCTCATTCACACCACCACCAGCCTATTTAAATAGTTAGACTCTCTCCAATAAGGAGAGACCAGGGATTTAACTCGGTTAATAGGCACATACCTAGCTTGTCTAGTATGCACAAAGTCCCATCTGATCCCCAGCACTCAAGAAATAGAGGCAGGAGGATCAGAAACTCCAGGTCATCCTTTACCACATACTGAGTTCAGAGTCTCCCTGGGCCACGTGAGACCTTGTCTCAATTAAAAAACAAACAGAAAGTTGGGCTTGGTGATACATGCCTATAACCCTAGTACCTCAGAAGGTAGAGGCAAGAGGATCAGGAATTCAAGGTCATCCTTGCCTACATAGTGAATTCAAGTCTGGCTATATAACACCCTATCTCAAAAACAAAAAGCAAAAACAAAACCCAAATAACAACATCAAAAATCCAAGTTTTGGGGTGGGGGTGGTGTATGTAGCTCAGAGGTTTAACACCTGCCTGGCTTTCATTAGGCCTGGGCTCAAACCTCAGTACTCAGAAACAATAATCCCAAGTTTGATAGCATCCAGGATAGGATCTTTGGAACTAGAGCCCTGGTTATGTCTTTGACTGTGAAGGCTGAGTCTGTGTGAAGGTGGACCTGGGTAGTTTCCAGGAGCTCAGGTGGGCCATGTGTGGCTGCCCCCCCATGGAGCATGCTGACACACTGGCTCTTTCTGAAGTGGCCTGGGCATTGTAGATCCTGCATCCCAGGTGGGCCTTCCATGTGTCTCCCATCCTGGAGAGGCCCTGCCTGCCTGGGTCCATACCCCACAGGCTTGTTCTTAAGGCCATCTCTGTGTCCTTCTTGGTCTCAGCGCTGGAACCCCATGGGCGGCTTTTGTGAGAAACTCCTGCCGAGCGATCGCTGGCCGTGGAGTGACGTGAGTGGGCTCCAGCACCGACCACTGGATGGGGTGGCACTGCCCTCGCCACACTGGGAGTGGGAGTCAGACTGGTACGTGGATGAGAATTTTGGAGGGGAGCCCACCGAGAAAGGGGTAGGTGAACTCAGTACCCAGCATGGATGCTTCAGGCTTAGCCTGTCCCCCCAAGCACCACTGTCCCCAGCCCAGCTATATCTGACTTGCTTGCTGTGGAATTGGGTGCTTTGGGTACTGCTGCTCCCTCCTTCCCTCCCTTTCTTCCTCACCCACCCCAGCTCTTCAGATCTCTTCCACCAGAAGCCTTACAAGGCTCTTCACTTGGTATTTCAGGGGTGGACATATGCCATTGACTTCCCTGCCACATACACTAGAGACAGTAAGTGGAATTCCTGTGTGCGGCGGAGGAAGTGGATCCGGTATAGGAGATACAAAACCCGGGACTCCTGGGCCAAGGTCTTTGTGCCTGAGTGTGGCATGGGGGCTGGGCTCCAAAAGGGACTAGGCATGGGGTCCCTGATAGAAGTTGTCACAAGAACCCTCATTATCATACCCCTGCCTGGGCAGAAGGGGATGCCATACCCACTCTAGGACCTTGCTTTTGATTTTCTTTTCCTGTCCCAGAACCTATATGTCTGTCCCCTCATTTGGAAGATGGCCACACAGAAATTGTCCTGCCCCAGGCCTCCCCTCCCCTAACAAGGCTCTCCTGTAGTATCCATGATCCAATTCAAGGGCGGTAGCCCAGGTCTAGTGTCTGAGGGAGGGGTCAGAGCAGAGGGGATCCATGCAGGAGCCTGAAGGCCTGTGGCTGCCCTCTTTGTGCAGTCAGGCATCATGGACCAAGGTGAGGGCGGAAGGACTAGGGGAGAGGCAGGCAGAGGAGGAGAAGGACACTGTAGGTCACCAGGCAACAACATCTACACTTCTTATCCCATTTCAGATCCCCTCCAAGGATGACCCTAAGGAACTCCCTGACCCCTTCAATGACCTGTCTGTAGGAGGATGGGAGATCACAGAGGAGCCTGTGGGCCGACTGTCAGTGTGGGCTGTATCCCTACAGGGAAAGGTAAGGCCACACCTCAGTGCCCTGGATCAGAGGTGGTGAGGGAAGACAGCCACAGGCTGGAACAGTGCAGGGGTTCCCCAAGGTGGAGGAGGAGATCTCATTGCCTTCTATCCCTAGAGTTGGGGCTTCCTGAGCTGGCAGCATTTTACCAGGCTCTCCACAATTCCTGTCCTGTGGGCATCAATTTTGTCTCCTATGACAGGTTCTAGGCTTCCAGTGGGCTCCCACCTACAATCTCTGGTAGTACTGTGCATGGGTGAGTAGGTAGATGGATGACTGATGTTTTGGTAGATTGATAGTGGTGGATAGATGGATGATGTGTAGGATGAATGGTAAGTAGATGAATGATGTATGGATAAACTGATAGAGAAATCACAGGTAGGAGGATGGATATTGTATGGGTGCGTGGATGGATTGATGATGCATGGATGCATGGTGGATGGTGGCTGACTAAATGAACAGTAAACATATGTAGATGAGTAAGTAGACGGATACATGATGGGTGGATAGATGGATGGGGTGGGTAGTTGGTGGGTAAGTACGTAGATGTATGGTGGATGGTAGATGAATGGTAGGTGTGTAGGTGGTTAGGTGGATGGATGATGGGTGACTGACGGTAGGTAGATGGATAGTAGGTAAAAGGATGGATGGTAGGGAGGGTACATTGAAGGTGAGTGGATGGATGGTAGATGGGTAGAAGAATGGGGAGGGGGTAGATATATGGATAGCTGGGTGGATAGATGGATGAGTGGGTGGTGGGTTTGTAGGTGGATGAGTGATGGGTAGGTATATATTTAGAGAAAAGAGATCTTTTCTCAGAGTTTGTGAATAAGACCCTGGACAACAGCAGGGACACAGATGGTTCTGAGCACAGGGGATCCAATGCCTTCATCATGGTTTTAGATCTTAATTATAATTGTCCAGTACTCCTACCATGCATGGACCACAAGTCTTTGCTGACTTTGGGACAGTCAAAGAAGATTCTTTTTAGCAGGCTCACCTCCAGCCAGGGTCATGTTTACCCTGACTTAGGTCAACTGTAGTTGTTTCCCCTCAGTTTTGCTAAAGGATGGGGGAGAGGGACTGGACAGGGTGAAAGAGGTGGCCCAGGACAGCCCACCTAGATGCAAAGAGAGGGGGAAGGCGAGGGCTGCAGAGCTGTGCTTGTGTTCCCTGATTGTCAACTGTGAGCCAACGTCACCCAGCGCCACTCCTGTGGTCCTTAATAAGAATGTGCCAGAAAGAGACACTTGCACACCGGGAACAAAAGGGAGACTCCCAGTCTGGTCCTGCAAGGCCTGTTAAAAGGCTGGCTTGGCAGCAATAGAGAGACCAACATCTCTAGTCTGAAGATGGCTCTCTGGAACCATCCCTCCATACATCATGCAGACATGTGCCACCTCCTCCAGGTAAAATGAACCTAAGTATCAGGATGACATGAAGGAGTTGCACACACACATGATGGTGTGTGCTTGTAATCCCAGAACTGGGGAGGCAGACACAGGCAGATTCCTGGGGCTCACTGGCCAGCCGTCCTAGCCTAATTGATGGACTCTGAGCTAAAGAGAGACCCTGTCTCGAAGGGCGTGGACAGGACTTCTGAGGATGACACCTGACATTGACCTCTGGCCTCCACAGGCACATGCACTCACATGCACAAGAGCAGGCACACCCACATATTAAACTATATAACGTAGACATAGGTAAGAATGTTTTGGGGGCTGGAGAGATGGCTCAGCAGTTAAGAACACTGATTGTTCTTGCAGAAGACCCGGGTTTGAATCCCAGCACCCACATGGCAGCTAACAACTGTTCGTAACTCCAGTCCCAGGGGATCCGACAGCCTCTTCTGACCTCCGAGGGCATTGCATGACACGGTTGCACTTACCTACATGCAGGCAATACCCGCATGCACATAAAATAAAAATAATAAATTAAAAAAAGAGTTTTGAACAGGACTCCAATAGCACAGGGAACAGCCCCAATAATTGACAAAGGGGTTTGCATGAAATTACAAAGCTTCTCCGTAGCAAAGAAAACTATGCTGATAGCCTACAGGATGGGAGAGAACTATTTGCTGGCTGTACTTCAGACAGGAGGTTAACATCTACAACATATGAAGAACTGCAAAAAATTAAACACTCAAAGAAGAAAACTGCCAATACATGGACTAATGAAATAAACAGTTCTTAAAAGAAGAAACACAAGTGACAATACATTGTTGTTTTTGTTGTTTTGAGACAAGGTCTTGCTATGTAGCCCTGGCTGGCCTGCAACTTGCTGTGCAGACTAGGCTGACCTTGAACTCACAAAGATCCACCTGTCTCTGCCTCCTGAGTGCTGAGCTCAAAGGCATGTGTCACTATGCATAGCTCCAATAAATATTTTTAATAAAAGTGTTCCACATCCTTAGTCAGCAGGGAAATCCAAAGTAAAACTACTCTGTGGGGTGTGCCACCACACCTGGCATAAGGTGTTACTTTTTTAAACATCAATGTTTATTTAGATTTAACCCCAGAACAAACCACTTTCCCCTTGTTTTATCTTTTGTTTTTTAATCTCAGTCTTTCCTCTGGGATTACTTTCTTTTTACTAATGTGTGTCCTTCACAGTTGGATTTTGAGGGTCTTCTGGTAGCAGACTCTCTTTTTGGTAGGTGACATATCTTTGCTTTGTCCTCGATGTTTCTGGCTTTTTGAGACAGGGTCTCCCTGTAGCCCCAGCTGGCCTGGAAGTCACTGGGTAGACTAGGCTGGCCTCCCTCTCACAGAGATCCACCTTCCTCTGCCTCCCGAGTGCTGGAACTATTCTAGATAGTAACCCCTGTCTGAAGTACAGCTGGCAAAGATTTTTCTCCCATCCTGTGGGCTAAGCGCACATCAGTGTGCATTCATGATCATACATTTACACATACACACGCACACGCACACACACAGAACTACTTTGTGATTCTATCTCACATCTCACCCTAGTTAGAATGGCCATGGTCAGGAAAAGGAAGGAGAGCAAATACTGGTAAAGATGTGGGGAAAGGACTGGCAAGATGGTTCAGCAGGTAAAGGTGCTGGCCACCGCCCCTGATGACTTGAGTTCGGTCCTTTCATCTGACATGGTGGAAGGAGAGAACCGATTCCCACAAGTTGTCCCCTGACCTCCACACATGTGCCCTGGCATATGCACAAACACATACGTACATACAACCAAACAAATAAATGTAATTTTAATAAAAAATATGGGGAGAGAGGACCCATATTGCTTAGTCTTAACTATTCATATCAAGGAGCAAAAGAAGTGGGCATTTCAGACCTTAGACTTCCCACTTAACCATCAAGACATCAAGACCCCGGCTTCCCCTAGTGACAGGTGTCCTGAGAGCGCATTACAACTATGGGGTATAGAACACGAGCTGCCCGGAAACTGCTGGGTGCCTCGGGCTGACAGGAATCTGCTTATGGAAGGTGTATGATGGAGGAAAGCAGATGAAAGGAACATGTCTAACCCCCAGGACCACTGAGGTCCAGGCTTTGCATTTTTTTCCACCAGAGTGAGCAAAGTGGAGGAGGGGTACTTAAAGTTTATGGGTATGTCAAGGAGCCTCCCACATACTCGACCTGAGCAGATGGACAGATAGGCTGATGTGAAACCCATACCTTCCTCTTTCCTCCCAGGTATGGTACCGAGAAGATGTCAGTCACCCGAACCCAGAAGGTTCCTCATGGTCTCTCATGGAAACTCCTCGGGAAGTGGCCCAGATCAGCTGTGGGCCCCATGACCTCGTGTGGGCCACCCTCTGGGAGGGGCAGGCCTTGGTCCGGGAAGGAATCAACAGGAATAACCCCAAAGGTGAGCAGCCCCTTAATGGGAAGGCGGGTTCTTGCTCCCAGAATCTTGACTGATGGAGGCTGTCTGGGGTTTCTTTGGGGCCTGGCAGGAAGTTCCTGGTCCATAGTAGAGCCTCCTGGCTCTGAAAATGGGATCATGCAGGTCTCCGTGGGAATCAGCGTAGTCTGGGCTGTCACGAAGGACCACAAAGTAAGAGTTGGGGGGCTAGGGTGGGTTGGTGGGTACATTTAACATTGGGGGTTTCTGTTCTTGTGAGGGTCGATAAACCTTTTAGAATACATCCTGCATCAGGCAAGCACTGTGAGTTTTTCTTTTAACATGGTCTCATGTAGTCCAGGCTACACTCAAACTCACTATGTAACAGAGGCTGGCCATAAACTTCAGAGCCTCCTGCCTCTACTGCCCAAATGATGGTATTATAGGCACACACCATACCTAGTTCATGCAGTGTTGGAGATTGAACCCAGGGCTTCAAGATGCTAAGGAAACACTCTACCCACTAAGCTATACCCCCAGCCCATCCGTGAGCTTTTCTGCTGTTGAAATCATCAACCATCTCCAGGATGTTTGATACTGCCATATGACTCTCTCGCCCACACCCTGAACCAAAATGCTGAACAACATTTCAGATGATCAGGGGCTAATATGCCAAAGCCCTCAGCCAGTTAAATGCCTCTCTTTTCTCTGTTACTAAATCTTATCAGAGGCAGGTTCAGTCAGATTAGCCAATTTCAAGTGCTTTTGTGATCTTTATCTATTTAGCTATCATCCACCATCCATCCATTATCCATCTATCTGCCATCTGTCTACCTGTCATCTACATATTATCTCTCATTCATCCATCTACCTGTTCATCTATCTATCAATCATCTACCAACCAGATATTGTCTGTTGTCTATTATGTATAAATTATCATCTATCAATTATCTATTGATCATCTCTTTATCATCTATATATTATCTGTCATCTCTCTGTTGTGTTGGGGATGAAACATAGGGACTTCATACATCACTGTATGTCAGGGGCATTTCTATCAACCAGTACCTTAAAAAGATCCTCTGGGACAGGTCAGTGAGATAGCTTAGTGGGAAAAGGTGCCTGCTGTCAAGCCTGGCTACCTGAATTGGATCCCCAGGACACACATGATGGAAGGAGAGAACTGATTCCCACAAGTTGTCCTCTGACTTCTACATGCATGTTCATACAGGTGCATCCTCATTCACACACACACACACGGTCCTCTGTCTCTGACCCTCCAAGGAGATGTGCTTATTTTGTGCTTATTTGCTTATTTCTGGTTTTCAGGTATGGTTCCGGAGAGGTGTCAACTCTCACAACCCCTGTGGCACCAGCTGGATTGAGATGGTTGGAGAAATGATAATGGTCAACGTGGGGTTGAATGACCAGGTAGATATGCATCTGGTTCCTGGGACTCCTAATGCAGGGTGTTGAACTGGTGACCCACTATTCCCTGACCCCCGGCCCCCAACCCCAGGAGGGGCTCCTGATGTTGGCACAGTGGGGAGTTCTAGGGCGCAATGAAGGCTACTTCTTCCTGAGTTCTGGAGTCTCCACTTGGCTCAGGGTCACTTCCCTAAGAGCAGTAGGAATCTGCTAGTAGTGAGGTGAACCATGTCATAAATAAAGGAAGGACACATTGAGAGATATTTGGGGAGGGACTTCACCGAGTGAGAGATGGAAGTAAGCTCTTTTCCTTTGACTCTGTGATGCCTTGTTCTCATGAGTGCCCTCTGTACAGTATGACAGTGTAGCCTCATTCCCCAAAGATAATGGGCTACAGAGATGGCTCAGCAGTTAAGAGTGCTTGCTGCTCTTACAGAGGACCTGAGTTCAATTCCTAGCACCCACCGTAGGCAGTTCACAAACTGCCTGTTAACTCCAGCTCCAGGGGATCTTATACCCCTTTCTGGCCTCTGCAGGCACCTGCATACACACACATAAATAAAAATAAAATCTTAAAAAAGATAACCAGGTTTAGGGGCTAGAGAGATGGCTCAGTGGTTAAGAACACTGAGTGTTTTTGCAGAAGACCTGGCTTCAAATCCTAGCACCCACATGGCAGCTTAACACCTGTCTGTAACTCCAGTTCCAGGGGATCCAACAGCCTCTTCTGTCCTCCGCGGGCATTGCACAACACGGGTGCACTTACTT